CGCACGACTCGAGTTCCTTTGCAGGCGTGACATGGAATCTATTCCTCGACTTGATTAGCTTGTGTAAAGTTTCTGAAATTCAAGAGATCTAAAAAGAATCACGGGTATAATGGGAGTCAGTACAGCCCACAGACGATGCACGCCGCAAATTCTCCTGATCTAAGTTCATCATCAGGCCGCTTGTAGTGGAGTACCTGACCGGCATGGCAGACATGGCGCGCGATTGTTGATAAAGTGGGCGTTCTTATACCGTTGCAGGGAGAACTGCGCTGTTCAGCGAAAAATAATAACGGGCGTTTCCGCTACTGCATCAGCTATTCTGTAAATCGCTCCGCAAACTTTATCCAGGCATCTTGTCGCCAGGTCTAGCAATCAAGACGCCCGGATCCTAGACTCATGAGGAAAGCTTTGCTGGGCGAGGAGCTGAGGGAGGGGCACATAATACTTTATTCAAGGCGGCGGAATAAACCAGTTTCATGCTACATAGCAATCACGCGTTGCGCAACAGAAAGCATTCGGACCAGACTGTGGAATATGATGTGGCTCTCTGTTCTGCGGAAGCGAGGCACTGCTTATTATACCTCTTTTTGACGGCATGAAATGATTATAAAGAGCTGTGATTATTCGTTTATAGCCCTTGCCTGCGGGATCTGCATGTCAAACGAGGCCAGCGTGTGTCTGCAACGGGTCACTTGCACTCGACTCCTATGACACGTTTGGACGCCAGTTTTGGTTCGGCTTGTGAGGTACCGTTACGAAGACTAGAACACTTCTTCAAACATGAGGGGCTATGGCAGCTCTCTTGGATGTATACAGGCTGTCCGAGCAGCCCACTGAAAGCGCTCAAGGTCTTGTGCATTCACACACACCGAGCCTGACAAATTGTCTCAAGCATTTACGCTGTTCTGCGATGCTACCCTCGGACAATGTGATCAAGGCGTAGGGCGCTTGCCAAATATGATGTTCCCGACTCACGGGACTTACCATACTGCTCAGGGGGTTTTAAATGCTTGAGGCCCTCGAATACATGGAGAGACCTTCCCCGACAGGCATTGGATCTTGGACTTACTTTGATAGGGTGATCGTTGAACAGGGCCTCCATTTCTCCAGATTTTGCTTTTCAACCGGGCAATTCTGGCCTGAGGTCCCATGCCAGGGAGACCATTAATGCTGCGCTCGTCGTGCTCAATACGTCGCTTTCTCCAGATTGCAAAGCTCAAAACTTCGGCGAGCCTCCACCAAGGAAAACCAAACTGACTTCATCATCAATGTTTGAAGGCTCCAGTGGGACCATCATGGTGTCACAGAAGCTTTTTGCTGTTGGCAACCTTCCCGAACTTGCTGCAGAGTGCAGCACGCATCATCATGAATCAAATCATGGAGACCATTGCATGGTTGTTGGGGAGATGAAAGACACTTTGCATCACTTGCCTGACTCCTAGAGGTTTATTTAGTTGTGACAGAAAACTCCTCACGATGGCCGCGATCAGGGTTGACATAGTGTGCCTGGGAAAGCAAGCACGTAAGCAATTCAACGCAGCTGATATTGAGTTTGATAATTACCGTTTTCGCTATTCTACCTATGCTCAGTTATTCCTGGTCATTCTTTTCTCGTCGGAACCCCAAGTTAACCGAAAACTCTGCTTGACTTTTGCATGCCCGATAAATATGATGATGCGCTTGTGTTTGTATCAGAAACGTGCACTCTTCGTTGGAAGAGGCCTTGAATATGAGATAAGACAGTAGAGGCACCCGTGGCGGAGTATCATCAATCGGCAGGTGAAGTTTTCCCGTTGGACATATGTCGTCGGCTGAAGAGAACCCTCGGGGCCTGGATTTGATACTTGAGACGGGGCTTCGGCCGACCATGGGCCAGCACTCCGGAAGCGACGGTCACAGTCAAGGTCACAATCCGCAGTCAATAGCATCCACACAACCAGTGACAGATCGGCCTGACGTGAATTAAATTGCTTGAATGCCGAACTTCCATCTGATTCTACAAGGTTGCTATAATTCCGGTTTAACCCTTGGTGCTTGTGCGTTTGTAATTACGCGTCGATCTGGGCAAAGGCCATTACCACCCAACCCAGCATGATATTTTGCCTCGGGCAGCAAAGATCCAGTTGGCGCTCATAGAAACAGATTGTTCCAGCAGTGTCAAACGCAATACTCTCTTTGCATCCTTCAGGCCGGGCCTGTGATCTTTCTACCAACGCACTTTATTCCCAGTTATTGATTCTAGTCCTCGGAGTGGAATTCATTCAAGGGCACGACGGATGTTTCCCCACAATCATGACGCTCTTCGTCAGCAACTACGGTATGAATACGGTGACCAGGTCCGTCTTACGGTGACACTTGCGTTGCATTCTTCGTTTGGGAACGCAAAATATGCGAAACGGGGCAGCGACACCATTGCTGCCCAGAGGGCCGCGCATGGTTGTTTGAAAGAAGTTTATGGGCCGTGGAATTCACTCGTACCTGAACGACCGCAGCCCGTCTGCGACTTGTTGAATGGTACTCTTATCTACGCAGCTTATGCCACGTTCACAGACACACGGCGGGCTAAGGCTCGGAACATGACCCATGAAGATTGAGTCGCCGCATTGATTGCATGCCATGAAGTCCCTGATCTTTCTTCCCTTCTAACTCGTTCTTCGCAGTTTGCCGCCTGGAGGCGCACCTTGTTAACTACCGTATGACTCTCTCGGGGAAATATTCGAGTGCCAGGATGGCTCACAGAAGAACCTCTATGGCCACCTATATGAAGTCCCTGATAAAGCAGTGCTAGAGTGCATTTCTCTTCGAGATAAGCAATAGCAGGAGTACGTCGGGAGAAGATGAGAATACTTCCGAAGTCAGTTGGATCACAAGCGCAACGCAGCCGCATCTGCCAAATCCCCAGTGCTACGTCCGCATGCATGATCGCTTCCCCAAATTCAGCATGCATGACGGAATCACTGCATGCCTGAGGTAAATGATTGTGTCCAGCTCGACACAACAGACGAGGTCAGCAGCGCTGTCATCGACACCACAGAACCCCCAAAGATCATTAACGCCGCCAATGTCTCGACCGAGTCAACCACCCTCGCTGAGACGGGACAGCCGAATATATGTTACCATGCCGCCGAGAGACTGGAAGGGCATTGTGGAATATCTATTTTTCCAGTGCATGCCATAAAACCATTCTCAAGGTGAATCGGGACAGCGACCAGATCTAGGCATGTGAAAACCGACTTCACCGTATGAACACACCTACATCACACAGATCCCAGCAGGCGGCCTCCCTTTCGAGTATTTGAAGTGCTTTTCAGCTGGTCCACACCATTCCCATTCTCAAATCTCGCAGTCAGTATGATGAAAACCCTTCCTAGCTCCGTCAAGTACGCTGGCGTGAAAAAGCCCGTCGACCCTATGCCTTCATCCGTGAATGCCTACTAGTGCGTGTGCGTGGCTATCCAGAGTCTCGTCGGCGATTGATTCATCTGGTATACGAGCAAATACTTGCGGCGACTGAAAATCAAATGAGCTTGATCAAAGATCCGTTCCGGAAGAAATAGAGCCAGATTACCTCAAGTCAAGCCGGTCATCCGGACGCCGACGAGGTTTCCATGCCAATACATACGCGCAGACATGTATCAATCAGTGCATTCAACATCAACGAGTCTGTGGGCGTGTCCAAAAGACGTGTTCGGGCAGGGGGAGGGATGGTATGAGCATCGGGTGAAGGACGCCATTGGCAATGGCGGTGGCAACGGTTAATCTCACAAAGACGGCTTTGACCCTAAAATCACCGGACCGCGACGATACAAGCCGTGTTTCTAAATGTTTCCGAACAATGTCGGTCCTTCAGGCTGACGCTGAACTCGGTCATGCAGGATTCGTGGAAAGGGGGGTGGCTTGGGCATGGCAACGATGGAAAACAATGGAGTTCTCAGTCAGGACAATTTGCCAAACGGCGAGTCTCTATTCCGAGTCATTTCCGAAAACACAGTCACTCATTTTCCATTCAATACTGCGCCATACTAGGCTCCTCAAGCCGGAGCTAGCCGAGAGAGCAACCGTTCTCACAGTTAGTGCGTATGTCGTGACATACAATTCAATCCCAAACCCATATAGCTCCTTTCCGGAGTGTTTAGCCACAGCTCTCACCTGCCATTACATCCCTAACTCCAACCTCCATGGGCGGTTGATGCAATCCATCCGTATATGGTTCATTCATTCTACACGAACCAAGACCTATTCCCAAAGTCTGATTGAGCCTGGGTCGGATACCAAACGCCACCTCTTGACACAGGGAGGCTTTGGCAGAACCGAGAGCCTGTCGAGCCTCCATCGTGAACTAGAACAAGGCACACCGCTCTCGCAGCGTGGATGCCGACGTGAAAGGTTCTGATGCCCAACGTCTATCCTAAAGCTGCCGCTCGCACTTCCAAAAGCTGTCAACAAGAAGGGAAATGAACTGAGTCATTTTTGGGAAGGTAGCTCAACTGTTCACGGACAACGGTGTGTTCAGGCCAAGGAGAAGGGCAATAGCATTTCCTCCTGCCGGACAACTTCACTGAAACCAACTTTCTTTTACAACCCGTGGAGATTCAAGCTTGGAAGGGCAGGATCAGTGATTATGGCTAAGCCAGGACTCTGCTGTACGACGAGGATTGATTTTCACAGGGGGGGGGTTCTGAGCAGCTGGTTCAGTGTGTGCAAGCTTGCCACGATATCCGCGGGACTGCTCCAAACCTTTTCACGCTATCCGAGGTGAAGTGGGACGTTCGCAACGAATGCATGTTTGATTATCATACGCTCCATATTTACCCGTGTTCCATGTTGCTTGAGTCCTAACATTTACTGCTGTGCTCCGTTCAAATGATGTGACCTGGTTCCATGCTTCATTTCTATCAATACGACTACTCTCCAGCTTCCATGCAATTCTTCTTCCATCGCAGCGCAGACAACATCCAGGTATCGACGCAAACAGGCAAGAACACCAGGTTGCAGCTAACTTAGGCGTCGACAATGCCTTCATCGGTTTTCTCGATGTTGCCTATGGCCTCGATTGTGGCCACTGCTTTTGGCACTATGTTTGACTCGAAAAGTTCGATGAGCTCAGACTTGTTCTTGGCCTTGGTGTAATTGACTTCATGAGCGGCCAGCAGATTCCGCAACTTTGGAATCGTAAGACAATTTGGGTTGAAGCTTGGGTGTAGATAGGAAATGTCGTCAGTGGGGTTGGGTATGTTTGGGAGGGGCGTGTTGGTGTCGACCTCGGTCGAGACGCCAGTGATGGGCCCGTCGGTTGAATCGTCGGTGGTGGAGTCAGCTATGGCCTTGTCTTCCTCAATAGAGAGTTCTGAAAGCTGGGCGGAGAGGGTAGTCAAATCGCCAGTCTGGATGTCAGACGATTTGGCTTGATGTTCCTTCACGAGCTGCAGGAGCCGGGGCTTGCGGGCTCGGCTTGGTACAGCGATTGCAAAGGCCTGCAAGTATCCACGCAACTGGGCGATGGTCATTTCCTCCACATCTTGAGCCGAAGCGGCTGGGGAGGTCAGAGGTGTGGTGGTGGGTCGGGATGCCTGCTCGTTCAGAGTGGTTTGTTCGGCTGCAGACTGATTGAGTGTTGTCTCGAGACTGTCGATGGAGAGGTCTGGCTCGAATTCGACGTCCGAAGTCTGCTTGCGATGCTCTGCAGCTAGTCGGACGAGCTCTGCCTTCCTCGCCCGGGACGGAAAGCGAATGGAATGGGTTCGGAGGTGCTGCCGAAGCTGTGGGACAGTCATCAAGCCGAGAGTCAGATCGATTGCGGATGTGGCGTTCTGGTCCAGGGTGTTTGGTGGATCGTTGTCGTCGCGCAGGGTGGCCGAGGCACTGATGGTTGGGGTGGGCTTTGGGGGTCGGACTTGGCGGACCATGCTGAGGTCGGATGGGGGATTCTATGGGTCGAGGTGGTGTCTGGAAAGTAAGCGAGCTGAAAAGCGAGAATTTGCGGTTGATGGGGACAAGCGACCGTCGGAGATTGCAAACGACTGGAAGTCTGGTGGAGGAGATGTCGTGTAGTTGGATGGCGTCACGAGGGTTGGATGGACTGCGTGACATGTGAATCAGCAAGAGGTGCAGTGCTGCATGACGGTGCTCTTGCCTCGTTTCACTCAGCAATCTAGGCAACTGCCCTGGGAAACAAATATCCCAGCAACTTCCTCATCGGCTTGGTAGCTTCTGTGCCTTCCCGGTGATAACGTCGGGTGACGCATGTTTGGGCGCAGTTGCCCGTCGTGGATGCATCGGCGTTAGTTGGTCATGCCAGTCGATGTAGAAGGTAAGAAGCGAGTTGTTCGTGGTTTGCATTGACGAAAGCTTTCGAGGCTGCAAGGGGAACAATCCGAAATGAAATGGTCAAGCAAAGGCGTTGAAGATGGCCATGTTGCAAATTCAACCAACCGACCACCACGCCGACGTCCAGTAGACGCCTATGGAAGGCCGGAGCATCTCTTCCGACGGCATGCCGAGAGGGCTGACTTTCTGCCTCTGAATGTCCACTTCTTTCTCGAAATTGGGCTGGTCTTCTTGAAAACCACTGGGCGGAACTCCGTCGCGAAGTGAGGAGTCCGCACATAGAGTCGACGTCAGATGCGCGATGGATTTGAGACCTTCATCCGTCAGTCCTCGAAGGCGTTGCTTGCTTTCAGCCGCCTCTGCTTGGCTCAACGGTGAGAATTGGCTTGGACGCATCTCCTTTGGACGCACCCAAACTCGCTGCGTCCGAAGAGCCAGGGAACGTGAAGGAGCTCGGGTGCGTTATTTCCAAGGAAAGAAGGCGCGAAGCTGTGTCATTCCTCAGCTACCCCGTCGATTACGTGTCTGCAGAGGCGGGAGTGCTCTTGCTGAAAATGTGAACAGCGCGATATATGGAGGGCGCATCAACTCTCCCTTCCCCATAAACCATCACCTCCTTCAGCATGCACGACAGGATGTTGCGCAGCCCGGTATACCATGACCTGGGTCACCAAGCTTGAGGCGCTGTTGCCTCGCGATGCATTGAGCAGGGCGCCCTCTCCAAAGAATTGAATGAATCCGGGGCTTCACTCGCCAGGCGCAAGTCCGCGTTGACAAGGCCCTTGCATCAATGTGCCCATCTCTTTGCAGCTCAACGTCGATACATGCATGCAGATGACTCTGGTGCGAGGGAAGCTTGCGTCAGTCCACCTAACCTCCGTTCGTTTGCCGGCGCGATGATGGCTTGAAGATGAAAATTGTTGGTGGCCAGGGCAGAGGCTGACTTGTGCTTTGGGGGAGGTGCTGACGATTTTTCGGCATCACCTCCCCGAAGGGCCCTGAAGGGCCCTGAAGGGAATGTACTCCGGTACTACCACCTCACCATGCACGTTGTCAGCCATCACCAAGCCAGCCCAGACGGGACGACCCGTCCCGTTGCCAAAATGCAGCCATTCGGGGCTTGGACCTGGAGCGGGCTCCCGACTTTCACTCACAGCTGAGTGTGCCTGCGAACGCATGGGCCCCACTCTGCCTCTAGCGGTTTATCTGATTGGCTAGGCGTAGCATTCCTGTGCGAAATTCCGCACAAGCCCCATAATTAGGACCGAGATGTAAGAAACGATTGGCCGAGTCGCCGTGACTGAACAAGTGCAAGGCACTTCATCCATGACCCGGGCCCATCTAATGCAGAAATCCAAAACATGGGTAGGACTGTTTGGTTCTTGAAGATTCCACTTGCATGACAGGAAACGCTCTTTGCACCAAGGCGTGTGGGATGTGCTTTAAAGCGCTCTCCGTGCAGAAATCGGGGTCCAAGGAGACATTCTCGTCGAACACTGGAGCTCTTGTTCTTGGGACGCACCTGATTACGTCATGTGTGCCTGGGTCTGGGCTGCGCACCTCTCTGGTTCTTCAAGCACAGCTTCGGACGCACCTAATTACGTCAGAACTGCCTACTTCTGTGGTTCTTCGGACGCAGTGATTTTGGCTGCGTCCAAAGACGATGCGTCCGAAACCCCCCTAATTGAGCTACCTGCCATTCTGAAGCCCCGCGCCTCTTCATGTCTTCACAGCGTGCTCGGACACATCCGCTGCGCAATCCCGCAGTCAATTTTGAGGCGGCATCCCGGAGCCGGTCATGTCGCAGCCGAACGGCAAAGAACGCCGCGATCCAACCCAATAGAGACCGAGAAAAGAGCGCATCCGCAGGCCCGTTGCACTGATTCTCTTATTGGGGTAGATCAATCGACCGAAATCGTCTCAGATGCCACGAGTAACACTCAGGCTGTCCTCACGCATCGCCACCGCAGGCCGGGCCTCAGATCACTGGTGCACTTGTGGAACACGAGGGCTTCTCTCGCTGGACCTCGCAGGTCTGATTGCCCGACGCGCAAAGGTCCTTTCGCTCGCTGCAATGGACGGGCGGGGGCAACGGGGATCCGGGACGGGGTTAAGATGCGGCACCATCAATGTACGTCGCCAATCTCTGAACACCATCGTGTCCGTCTTCAACGGACGACTTTCTGGATGCATGCAAGCCAGTTCCCCTTGAAGCAAGTTTTGATTCAGCCGCGGGTGAACAGATCGTACCAAATGTCTGAGCAGCAACAAACATCGGTGCTGTGTCAGGCGGTACCTAACGGGGAGAGTGGGTGCACATCTACAGTGGCCTTCAGGGGAGGTGCTGACGAAAGTTCGTCAGTACCTCTCCCGTCACCAGCCCACAGGTGCTGCTGCGCTTCAGAGCCATTACTTCAGGTCAGTCAACCCAGATCTTCCCTTCTGTCCCTTTTTCTTGGGCAAACCTACCCCCATTTCGCACCTGCACCGACGTCGCACATGGAACATCATGACGGACGCATTCATTTCCCGAGCGACGCGCTCCATCGCAATGTCTGTAAGCGGCTCAAGGCTCGGAAGTACTGCCGCTTTCTCAACCGTCAGCCTTTTCCCGGTCCCAGGTCATGGCTGAGGCAGGCAAACGTTCGGACGACCGGCCTTGGAAGCAGCAAATCATCGGCTAAACATGTCGCATTATGATACTGCCTTCTTGTGCTCCATCTCCGACTCTGTCGGAATCTGCGCACCCGCGCATGGGATGATTGTTTGCACTACGGCGTCCAAGCAATGTTAGAAGGTCTCCCGGCCCCCCCTCGCAATGCTGTTTTGTCTAACTTTCTCCTTGGCAGGGCTTTTGACATCAACGCTATCGCAATGGCATCCCGCCCCGCTGCCTCCACGAACTCGTCGAACTTTCACACGCCCAGCCTTGCTGTCCCGAAGCCGCTCGAAACCCACCACCAGAGACCTCAACCTGCATCGCCCGAGACATCAGCCACGTGCCCATACCCACCATGCCTATTGGTCAATGTGGGAGCTTGAGGCACCTACTGGTGGTTTGTTCCAAACAAAAGGTGGCTATGGGTGGTATGATTCAAGCTGAGGCACAGCAGGGCCTTTGCGGCAGCGGACGGGTCGGTAGCACGCTCTCCAAGTCGGAGTTCAGCGGCAGCAGCAATGCGATTCAAACCGTCATCTACTCCGATGACTCACGACTTACCTTGGATGCAATGGGGAGGCAAGCTGTAATGTAGTTCGCCGGACTGCTTTCGGCTCAGGAACCTCCGAATCCCAGAACCCATGTCAAATGGCTCGCGAGGTGTCCAGCGTCGTCGCATGTGCCGTCGTGTTTTGCTGCCCCAATATCTAGTCTCATCGTGGGCTTGCTCCCAGGATTCTCCCGGCAAGCATCCGCTTGGCGCTATTTCGATTTCGCGAATTCGCTTTCCCATTCTCCATCTTCCTTCGCCTGGTCGTCTATCTGGCCCCTTGCTCGCTCTGCGCCCTTCCGTATCCATTTTCTTGCGAAAAGCGACCATGGACATGCAAACCACCTTATTAGCTTAACTGGTGTCTCCGCTGTACCTGCGGCGGCATTCATTGTCAAGTTGAAGGCCATAGACAAGGTGACTTCACAAGGACCAACCACTTCATGCTGCACGCCAACATTAAGCAGTTTGCACGCATATAAGAATATGTTTTCACTATCCAGGCCAACGCTGAGACCCATCATTTGCTCCAGTTCTTTGGACGCATCAATTGTGGGTGCGTCTGAATGGTGCGTCCGAGTGGTGCCGAAGGGTGCGTCCGAAATCCAGGGGTCCAAGCTTCGGACGCAGCCATTCTTACTGCATCCAAACCGTAAATAACCAGAGGCTCTCCCTTTGCGCGGTGCGAGAAAATACTATGTGCCTCATCAGTGCGTCCTCAGGGTGCCAATGCTGTCCTTGGGGGAAGGTGATGACGGCTTTCGTCAGCATTTCTGGCACCAGCACCCACCCACACCCTGTGAGGCTTTTCAGCACCGAAACCCCACTTCTCTCTGGCACAGTCAATCAGCGCACTTCACTATTCTCGCGGCCTGGTGCTGCGCATTTGAGCAAAACCTCCTCATCCTCTACGATACCAAGAGCTGCGCGCGATTCTAGCGATGAAGAGTCTGAGTTTGCGACCGGCTACATAAGGTAAGACAGATGGCTGTAGACGCAGCATGCGCCATGAACGCCGATGCCGAAGCCGAAGATTACTGTTATGGAACAAATCAGAGTATTTGCTTTCTTGTCCCGACACGCTGCGCAGCATCAAAGTCGCTGCAGCCGACGATTCTTGCCAAACCCAATGCCCAATGGCCCGGGCACCTGAGCTTTGGGTGCATCCCCAGCCACTGGGTTCAGATCCAAGGTCTTACAATCCCCAAGCAAACCTTGGACTCAGTATTAGGGCTCGCAAAGTCGAAGTCGAAATTAACTTTAAGCCTGCTCCGTTAGCCCGCGTTTTCAGATGATCTGCACCAGGGGAGGCCTGCGTCCGATCGCGCTAAACTGAGAACGGCCACGCGCCAGGCGCCAGACGCCAAGAA